AGAATATAAAGAAGTAAAATACATAGAAACAGAATATAAAGAAGTAAAATATATAGAAACAGAATGTAAAGAAGTAAAATACATAGAAACAGAATATAAAGAAGTAAAATACATAGAAACAGAGTATAAAGAAGTACAAGATGTAGAGACGGAATATAAAGAAGTACAAAATGTAGAGACAGAATATAAAGAAGTAAAAGATGTAGAAACAGGGTATAAAGAAGCACAAACCGAAACCGAATTTAAAGAAGTAAAAGATGTAGAAACAGAGTATAAAGAAGTAAAATATGTAGAGACAGAATATAAAGGAGTAAAAGATGTAGAAACAGAATATAAAAAAGAAGTACAAGATGTAGAAACAGGGTATAAAGAAGTACATGATGTAGAAACAGAGTATAAAGAAGCAAAAGATGTAGAAACAGAGTATAAAGAAGTACAAGATGTAGAAACAGAGCATGAAGAAGTACAAGATGTAGAAACAGAGTATAAAGAAGCAAAAGATGTAGAGACAGAGTATAAAGACGTAAAAGATGTTGAGACAGAGTATAAAGAAGTACAAGATGTAAAGACAGAATATAAAGAAGTAAAAGATGTAGAAACAGAATATAAAGAAGTAAAAGATGTAGAAACAGAATATAAAGAAGTACAAGATGTAGAAAGAGGCTATAAAGAAGTACAAGATGTAGAAACAGAGTATAAAGAAGCAAAAGATGTAAAGACAGAGTATAAAGAAGCAAAAGATGTAGAGACAGAGTATAAAGAAGTACAAGATGTAGAAACAGAGTATAAAGAAGCAAAAGATGTAAAGACAGAGTATAAAGAAGCAAAAGATGTAGAGACAGAATATAAAGAAATAAAAAATGTAGAGACAGAATATAAAGATGTAAAACATGTAGAGACAGAATATAAAGATGTAAAACATGTAGAAACAGAATATAAAGAAGGAAAAGATGAAGAAACAGAATATAAAGAAGAAAACAACAGAGAAACTGAAAATCAAGACACACAAATAAATGCGCTTAGAGAAGAAATTGATGTGATGGAAATAAAAACACAAACCAAAGAAAAGGAAAATAGAAGAATGGATAAGGGAGATATAGAAGAATCGGAAATAGTAATGGAATTAGAGGAGGGGAAGAATTATGGAGCAAAAGCTGTAGAAGGCAAAAAAGAGAAAAATGAAAGCAATTTCCGTAAATTTTTTATCAGAGTGGGAAAACGGCTTAGAAAATTGTGTACTTGTGGCTGTGCTAAAAAACAAGCAGATTGAGAAATAAAACGAGGGAGGGGGGGGGGCAGGGGAAACGAAACAAGAAACATTAATTTTTTTTAAAGATAAAGATACAGAAGGTATAATAGAGGAAGCTGTAGAAAGAAACTGAATAGAGTATTGACTCTAAATGTACATAAAACAAATTTGTAAATACATGTATTTATTTCATGTTCTATAAATAAATTATAGATATTATACTTGTGTAGATATATGTGTCATAGATTTTATGGTCAGTCAATCAGGGATATATTTCTAGATAACTTAAAATAACGGGGGATATTTACGAGTAGCTTATGTATCAATCTCATTAGTAGATTAATTTTCAACCATACAACAAGGTGCATACCATAGCGCCCGTCTAACCATCATCAATGTAATGTTCAATTCCATGCCCCACCCCCCACCCCCTCCCCACAAAAAAGAGAAAGAAATCAATACTGGCCCTGCTACAATTTGACTGTATTCCTGACAGAAAGGTGTCTTTGATTCCCGATCAAATCGCTGATTGATAAGCCCTAAGGTCAAATGTATCGGTTAGGTCAAATGTAAGGAAATGACAGATAATTTTCCGGCGGACTCCCCCCCCCCCCCACCCCACCCCCCCCCAAAAAAAACAAAAGACAAAAACAAAACAAAAAAACCTATCTGCGGCGTGCCCCATCTCCGCGGCCATTGCCCTCATTTTGCGTAGTGTCACGTGGTTGTGTGTGTCTGTGGGTCGTCTACAGGGTGCAATACTTTATGGATTGCCTTGAAACTGTATATACTTATTCCTTATACCCTAAGGATGATCCCGTAGTGGCAGAGCCAGGCACATTTTTGGTATTTGTTTGTCATCTACAGGATGCATTTCTTAGCGGATCACCTTAAAACGTTGCATACTTATTCCTTATAAACAAAGAATCACCCCTATTATTTTGGGTGCATGCCCAACCCCAGGGACAGAGACACGCACATTTTCTCTTTGTGTGTCCCCTAAAGTCAACATTTCTTAACGGATCATCTTGAAAAGTTGCATACTTATTCCTTATAAACCTATTATTTTGCGTGCATGCCCAATCCCCAGAGCCAGAGATATGCCCATATTTTCTTTTTGTGTCGGCTACAGTCCGCAATTCTTAATGGATCGTCTTGAAGACTTTTCATACTGATTCCTTATACCCTAAGAATGACCTCTATTATTTTTGGTGCATGTCGACCCCCTGGGACAGATACAAGCCCAGTTTTTGTGTGTGCCTTTTGAAACTTTGCATACCTATTCCTTATACCCCAAGAACGACCCCTGTTGTTCTTTGTATGTCTATGTGTTGTCTGCAAGTCAGAATTTGTAATGGATCATCTTATTCCTTTTACCCTAAGGACGGCAACTAGTTATTCTGGTGCATTCCCCCCCCCCCCCCCACGCCTTCTCATTTGGGCGGTGCCACACCCACTATTTGTTGGAATTATCAACATATTTGGATCCAATTCCGTATGATCCTCCATTAGGTTGTACCTATTTATATTGGTCCATGTCCAACCCCCAGGGTCAGAGGTGCCACACCCACTTTTTGTTGCAATTGTCAACATATTGGGATCCAATTCCGTATGATCCACCATTAGGTTGTACCTATTTATATTGGTCCATGTCCAACCCCCAGGGGAAGAGGTTAATAAACGAGCTAGTCTAGCTTACTTTTGGATCCAATTCTTTTGCCCCTCCTGTATAAGTGTTATTGAACAAACGGCTTCTGTGCTTGAAAAATGTAAATTTTTCATTAAAATGAACACAACCTCACAAAAAGTCAACGAATATCTCAGTTAATGAATATCCCAAAATATTATATTCACATATACTTAATAGTTGAAATATTAACGTTTCTGTATTTTACTTTCAGGGGTGGGAACATATTAAAGAACATCAAGTGCTACGAAACATGAAATAAGTGAAATATTAAATGGTGAGAACGATGTCAGTAACAGTGATGAGGGCAAACACGTAAAAGACGAGAAAGACAGCAGAAAAGAATTACGAGTCCGAAAATTTAGCAAGACGGCTTTGTTTGCAAACATCAATAGAAACGATTCCAATCCCATCATTTATGCTACTAACTGTACTATTAACTTTACAACTAATTAAAATTGATTTACTGTGTTTGTTTAATATGACGTCATCAGGGGCGGGATGATATTGGATGATGTCATCAGTGGATGATACGTGATATCATACCCGGGATGATATCACATATCACCCTCTGATCACCCCATCCTCGGTATGATATGTCTGGTATCGTTTATAGAACATCAAAGACATAACACCGTGAAGGTGTGTATAGTTTATTTATTACCCGTTAAATTATAAAGTATTTATTGATTCGCTGTCTTATTTAAAATTGTAATGATTATAACAATATGTATGGAAAGAGCTACTCTAAGTTTTTGAACTTGCTCCTGATCGTTTTAATGTTTGTCAATAAAATATGTTTAAACCAAATCCCATGTTTGATTCCAATGTGGGCCGAGAAAGTTTATCAGGATTTTCCGGCGTGGTTCCCCCTTGCCAGTGGCGCAGAAGGCCCGGTAAGGGGCAACGTGTATTCGTTCGGATGGAACGAACAAACGAGGTCCTGAGTAGACATCTAGGGTGCACGCAAAACAACCTGGCCATTTGGAATTTGATATAAGAGTAGGCCATAATGTCGATGTCCGAGGCAAAATTTCTCTCACAGCACATTGTACACCCGTCTTCATTAGCTCAGTCGGAGCAGAACAGTAAGACATTAAACCCCATTTCATTCCATTCATTTTCATTTTGTTCTCTTAAAGATCAAGAGATTTGATCAATAGATTTGACACCCATCTTGCAGAAACTTTTGTCATTTCTAACTCGTTGGCGATACTGTGCTCAGCCCTCTCATGAGAGATGCCCGCAATATGCCGAGAGGTCAATCGTCGATCAGTCATCACCATGTCATGCACCCGGGTAATCTGTTCTTGAATGGTTGCTGTTGATAGTCTTCCAGAACGCGTCCAACCTCGTGGTCCTCCCACTGCTAAAAGCCCCTACGCGCAAGTGAGTTATTGAAATAATATTGAACCATGTGTTAGTCCTGAAATGACCTAGGTTGTGTCGAGTGGACGTTGTAGGTACTTAATGACTGCCCTATAGATAGTTTTGTTCATTTCTCGTGATTTCAATGGGCATGTTCTCAATATGGCCCGGTACGAAGACAATGACAACACGGCGGTTGCAGTTCTTATGTCTATGATTCAATCAATGATTGTACTTGTTGGTGGCAAAAGTTTGTTTCAACCCAATTGATTGATCCTTTTTCAACCAGTCCTCGTACTCTGAAACTTTTGGAAAAATGCTATGTTTTCATGCAAAGCATATCTATGCACCTCTTGACACGTGGCCAATCGTCTAACCTCAATTTTTAAAAAGGTGTAAAAATGTAAACAATAAGTTGTCAAATAAGTAAAACAATAATAAATGTAAATCATGATGACGTTTCCTAGTAAAATGTGACTTTATTCTTCGAGGGGTCGCGATCAGATACTGGTTTCTGGAATGGGGTCACAACCAACGAAAGGTTGGGAACCACTGAAATCGGGGAATTATAATCTCAACACAATATTTCCTGCTTTATGGAGGTGGAGTAACAATTTGTTACGGGGTCAGCTATTCTTTAAATCCCCATTTCCAAACCCCGAGCCATACAAAACAACAATAACTAATACATTAATAGCTAATAAAAGAAAGTTTTATTATGTTGGCAATTGTGTTGTTGGTGCTTGAGTAGGTTACTGTGTAGATGGCTATTGAGTTGGTGTTGGTGTTTGAGATGGTGCTTGTGTCGGTGTTGGTGTTGGAGTTGTTGGTGGTTGAGTAGGTGCTTGTGTTGTTGGTGGTTGAGTTTGGGTAGGTGCCTGTGTTGTTGGTGGTTGAGATGGTGCTTGAGTTGTTGGTACTGTGGTGACTACTGGAGGTAGTGTAGAAGCAGCTGGGAACCCACAATGACAGTATCCATCGATACAATGCAGTCCGGTGCTACACTGACAATCATCTTTTTGATACTCATGTTCACAGTGTTCTTTGCTATGACATTTCTCTAGAAAATAAATGATACTTGAAAATGGAAAAATTGAAAATTTCAGTCAAATTTTCTACATTCTGAGTGAAGTTATGAGTGTTAGAAGTTTTTACAAGATACATATAGTTTTGGCAGTCAAGGACGATTGCTACGACAATAAATACAGTCTCAGTTATCCATTTTAATGTTAAATTATTGAATGGAACGGCAACACTTCCTTACAAAAGTAGCAGAGGATGGTCATCCCCTAAATAATAAGTTATATTTGAAACAAGAAAAAAGACCTGCGATAGCACTCTTAGCTCTTATACAATGCGCCGTTAAATCAAAAAGTAAAACCGTGAAATAGAAAATCTCCTACGAGTCTTTTTTGATATCAAAAAATATCAAGACAAGCCGATAAAGTAAAAAAAAAAAACCGAGGGTCAATAAAGTGAAAAAAAACACCCCGAGCCCTTGCCGAGTTTCTTTTTTACATTATCGACGAGTGTTGATATTTTTTGATATCAAAAAGGACGAGTAGGAGATTTTATTTATCACCCAATCATTTAATACATGCACAAATAAATAAATATAATTCTTTGCTAAAGATTTCAGTTTTACTGAACCTGATTACATAAAGGCGTAGGGATACATCATTTTTGACAGCAATTCAACCATTGCAAAGTCCTTTATATTGACCCAGTGTTTCTATCAAGGTCAATTAAATAAAAATAATTCATTTTTAATAAAAAACGAAGTTACTCTTAGTAAAAAAAAATGAACTGTTCTTTGAAAATAAAAAAAAGTAGTTCCTTTTTAACTGACCAACCAAATTCATGTAAAACAATATCTCCTAAGGCGATATCACAATAGATTATGAAATCTATCATACAAGCGATATCTACTGTAGAATGTATTATTGGGTGATACATATTTTTATGACTACAGCGTATAACCAATCACACCAACCCTCGCTACTCTTATAAAATATTAATGAAAACAAAGAAATATGATCCGAAACTCCCAAAGGGTTGATGTAACGAAAGAGATGGCAATTGTTTAAACGAGGAGATTCAGTCGCATTTCTTTCGCTGGAATCTCAGCCGTGACGAATCATTAAAATCAAAATACGGACTGAATGCACAAGGACAACCGATCCCGAAGTACCTTTCGACTGTTCAGCCAAGGGATCTTTTACATGCACGCCAATGTATACACGAGGCCTTGGTTTTCGTCCCATCCGACTAGACAGTTGTCCTTGACAAGGGTAAACCATGTCGGAAAATCCCGATGAACTTTCTCGGCCAATGCAGGGATCAAACACGCGACCTCCAGGCTAGCGAACCAGCGTCTTAGCCATAGTGGCTCCGCATGTGTGAGACAGACTTTAAAGTATGATATTGCTAACGACCTGCAAAATTCAAACGTAAAAATACATGTAAGCCTCTGCCATAGAAACATATGATGTTGCTGACACACACTGCATAGTAACTGCTATGTTTAAAATCAGAGATCGGTTCAAATATCTCGTACGATCGGTATCAAATATCTTTTCCCAGCAGTTTAATTGTCTTGGTGATATGATATATATTACTTACCAGTTATAGTTTCACATTTTCGAGTACAAGTACATATATTATTGATACATTTTGTCGTTGCAAAAACCACACAGGATAAAGATTTACAATCGCCGTCTTGAACACATGACTCACATGCTACGGTGGCTAAAATAGATAAACAAAAGTGAAAGAATACAAAAAGTTGGCATTGTGGAATATTCTGTTTTGGCGTCATTTACTGCTAAACGCTTTATGATCATCTCCGCTTTTAAAGGAGTCTTCCAGCTAGCTGTGAGTCAGCATAAGTATTCGACGTATTGCAAGTTGATTTAAGTAATAAACGAACTGCCGTGTAATATTGTGCAAGCCACATAATAACACGGAAGTGTCCGATGTATAGCAATTCACAACAACAGACGGCTGTCTAAAACAATATATGCACTAAAACCATTTTAGAATCTATACCGAACTCATATTAAAGTCTATCTAAGAGCAAACTATCCTTTTATATGGTTTTTGGTGTATATATATATTTGAAATATTGGAAAGTAGAACAAATTACCCGAAAAATTTGCACTGGTATTGTCTATTAGTTATAGCCGCCGATTGTTACTTTAATGATGATAATCAAATCGCTTATACCCCTGGTCATGCATCTTTATACAATCATGGATTCAAATTTACTTTCAAACCCTCATGCATAAAGTTATTGTTGCACACGTAACATTTTGATGTTCAAACAGACATCATGCGACGATTGAAAAACTGCGTTAGGCGCTCAGAGTTGCAAGAATAAACAATATTTTTAGAATTTCACATTGTACCAGTAGTGCATCACTGGGTAAAATCCAGTTATTCTATTTATTGTTGAACAACCCCACATCAATAACATTTCATACTAACCAATAAATACAGCTAGAAAGATCAGAACCTTCATTTTGCAAGAGAAGTTTTAATATAATGATCTCAAAAATTGTCTGATCTGTTTTTTTAAAAACATGTACCTGAAATATTACGTGCCTTATCTTTGACCTATAAAAGTGCTTCGTTTATGTTGAACAGCCAAAACGACACCCACGGTTCTAAATTTATCATTATCTGGATTGATAAAAACAATGCAGGTTGACCTACGGCATCATGGATTTTTCTCAGACTACTGTACTAAACAAGTACCACCGAACTATAAACCAGGAGCTGAGCACGGTGTTATCACAGTCAAAGGAACAAGTATGCTGAGATTATGACTATTTTCGAAGAGCGTCGCCGCCAAGAAGAACACGAACAACACGATGGGTAGCGGTTTGGGATCAGTTCCTGTTCCAAAAATGCATTCAAATGCGTTTTTGATACTGTACTTCCATTTTCGGCGACAGCAGTTAGTTTCATTAGTTTATAGGTGGGTGATTAAAAATACCCTATACGATAGCACCCAAGATGGCCCTCGATACCCTAAAATCATGTAAAATTCGTAATACATTTTAACGGGCATTTTAGGTGAACATATGATAATTTAACACCGTTGTAAATGGCAGCTATAGAATATGTACCCCCGAACACATACACATATTGACACATAAAAAACGACTACTTAATCAAATGGAAGGCATCTTTGAAAGATGCTAAATAGGCGAACATGTGATAATGTTACATAGTTGTAAATTGCATAAATGGAATCTGCTGCCCAGAAAACATATATATTGACACCCGAAAACCCGACGGATTTACAATACTATATGGACTATCTATCTTTCGCTTCATAAACCCAATGAAAAGACGTCTTCAAGAAATTGTGCACCATGGAAATGATAATTAGACCATTTTCAGATTCCATCTGCTGTGTCTCATTGTTAAATGGATTAAAACAACCCCTCTAAATTCGAAACAGGCTGTTATCTCCCAATTCACTGATAATATTTGGTTTATTATCTAAATAGTTCTATGTCAGTAAATATCTGTATTATATCACAACATTTAATCAAGATAGCTCTTCATCGTCGAATGACATGAATAAAATTATAGTATTCAAACCATGTTAACACAGAATTAAATGTCCAATAAAAACTCAGGGGCTATACTATATACCGGAAAACACCGGAAAACTACCGGAAAACACCATGTTACACTGAATACCGGTGTTTTCCGGTATTTAGTGGGGTTTTTTTCGGTGTTTTCCGGTATTCAGTATAACATGGTGTTTTCCGGTGTTTTCCGGTAGTTTTCCGGTATATAGTTTTGCTGAAACCCAGACCCAACAGATTAAAGCTTGTTATCTGTTCCACATACATAGTAAATACATGTATATATTTAATTTTCGTCGAAGTCACCGGAATCAACCGTAAATCGATAGAAACCACGGAGTTGTTCTACACGAAGATGCAGTCAAACAGAAACATTAAAATTTACAATTCAGCAAATCTGTTATATATTTAATCCCAAGTAAATTATTTTCAATTTTTCAGCTATGAGTGTTATGTTAACTCAGAAAAAAAAAATTATGACACTGTGTAATATTCAACTCTTCCTGCTATTAATAACGGGGGGTGGGTGGCTTAGTGGTTAGCACGTGTGCGCTGTATCATTAAGTCTGTCATTGAGTCAACTGGCGTGGTTTCGAATCCCCGGTTGTACGTGACAAGGAGTAGGGTCGCCTGTCCAACCTCGTGGGTTTTCTCCGGCTCCTCCGGTTTCCTCCCACTGCTAAAGACCCCTACGCGCAAGCGAATTATGGAAATAAAAATTGAACCATATGTTAGTCCCGAAATGACCTGGTTTGTGTCGAGTGGACGTTAAACCCCATTTCTCTCTCTCGCTATTAATAACCCGTTCAGCAAAGACTCTATGTGAAGTTTTGGGAAATCCCTTGCAAACTACGATATTGTGAAACTTTAATCTCTAACAGGAATATCAGTCCAAAAATTATATCAATTCCTTACAGTAGAAAAAATCCACCGATCTATGTATGACGGTCGGCATTTTTATTTGTGGTAAACAAAATCGATGAGCATCTTTTCAAACCTCTCGAACCCAAGCAGGAATATTATTTAGAATTATTTTTTGATTTTGTTTTCTTAATTAAATGTTAAAAATCAACCCGATTACATATTAGCGTGATATTTTACAACAAAAAATACCAACAAAAACACTTATCGTTACTTTAACTAGAAAATATGTTGTTTGTTGTATTTGTAATGGCATACATTAATAAAGAGAGGTAAACTATTTATCATATAGTATATATTTCAACACTATGAATTTAAGTAGAATGCAATGATAAATTTGTATGAATAGGAAGTAGGATAATGGCGGATTTGACTACCAACTTCTTTTACAGTGCTTAAAGGGTTACAGTTCTTATTTCCATGAACCTTAAATATCCAAATTTGAAAAAAAGGTATCTCAATAAAAAATGGTAACTATGTAATAATTATAAATTACAAATAAAATCATATAATACGATTTTGTTAATAATTGGTCTATGACCGCTCTATTTTAGAAATTGGGTTAATGATTCTTTTATAATAAGACGTGCACAATATGGTAAAAAATTGCATTTCGACAAAATGGCAATAATGTGGTAATAGAAATTTGGCGTCTTTATGACAGAAACACAATAATATGTGTTTCCCCGTTTCAATTCCAGTCCTGGACAAATAGAACTTTCCGCCGATTCATGTCGGTGAAAAGAAATTATTTTCCTCAAGAACAACCTGCAATCTCCACAGAGAATTGCCTTCTTTTAGTAATACAAGACAAGGCAAGAGCATTAATAATTTAAGCAAGGGCTGCACAAAATCTATATATACATGTGCGAATCATTCAGTAGGACATTACGATATTTAACTATTCTGCTACATGTTTGTAAATAATTCAACACGCTCGATTTTTATAATCACCCATTAGTGGAAGCAAAAAGAAAGAGATACTGCTAGCCTTTGTGGCATATATGATCATATCTAACAAATTAATGGAATATTGTTATTCGACCATGTCGAGTGTTTCATACTCGATAAAGCCTATTCTGTTGAACTCTCAGAGCATACGATGGCCGTTTAGTTATTGGAGAAGCAATTTTATGTCAATACCAATAGTAACGACAATAAATTTATGAATTTAAGTCTACTGGATATGTGTTTTCCTATTTTAAAGCTGTAGTATGTAAGAGATAATCCTGCCTATTGCAAATATTTCCTTTGGCCAAAAATGTTAGATGAATTAGTAATTAGACATTTATTCACATCACATGACAAGTTTATAATTATATAATTAACTCTCTAGACTATCGGATGGTTAGGATTTTAAACGGATTGAAACACGATCGCCATTTAATGATTTTCTTTATAAATGGATAATCGAGTCCCTGCTTATTACAACGGTCGCAATGAAAATCGAGACTACGCTATTCTTCACACATTAAAACTTAGATCAAGGCTATCCTACTTCTTTTATTATAGACGGTATAACGGATTTGTCCGACAATTAGGTACTCGGTTAAATTATTGCTATTACGAAGACTGTAAGGAGTTTGTGGAAAATGAATTAAATTATAGATGGAGGGCTTAGCTGATTAATAATTTTGTACATTAAGTTGAGTTCCTGACGCATTCGCCTTGTAGTGAGAAACACCTGGTACCCTTTGCATATCTGCTGAGTGTTCTAATTTAATTTTCAGTCCATCTGTGCACCCATCCCATATTACGTCACAATAGTCAAAATGTAGAAGAATAAGACTGGTATCCAGAGCGTGAGAGAAGGAGAAATGGAGTTTAACGTCCATTCGACACAAACTAGGTCATTTCGGGGCTAACATATGTTCAATTTTATTTCAGTGGGAGGAAACCGGCGGACCCAGAGAAAACCCATAAGGTTGGACAGGCGACCCTAATCCTGGCCACGTACAAGCGGGGAATCGAAACCACGCCATTTGACTCAATGACAGGCCTTATGATGCAACAAGCATGCGTTAACTATTCGTGATCTTATAAAAACCTAGAACAATTAATCATTGTACATTTCGACGAGTTTGTGACGCATTCGCCCTGCAGTGAGATACACATCCTTTCTTCACGGGACGTATCCAGTTTTTAAAGTATTTAAGGCGGTGATCTAAAGACCTAGGATAATTAATCATTTTACTTGTTTTGGCTAAAATAATGTTATCGTGTTTGTCCCATTTACAGTTTTTCTGAAAATTCAATCTCAAATGCCCGTGTTTATAAACTTTTATGATAGGGACATCGTCTAAATGTAGTGTAGGTAACAGTGGATCCGGTTTAGTAGTCAGTGCAAGTGTTTGAGTTTTTAGTCTTTTAGGACGTCACTATTTAAGTCAGCCGCGCATGCGGTTAGATAGTGTCAACTGTCATCTGCAAAAAATCTGACCTTCAAATTTATGTTCTTAACGATAACATTTATATAATTAAAAGAAAGGGAAGAGGACCAATGGCAAAGCCCTGTAGTACACCATGTTCCAGAAACAACGACCGCGAATTTTACAATATCTAGCCGTTACTAGATTATTCTGAAATTCCAGTATAGGAGGCAGACCACCATTAAATTTCACCATCTCGGTATTCACAAACTGTATTTCGTCTATTTATAGCAATTCTCTTTGTATCTTCTCTCCCCTTTTGCATGTTCATTTTTGTTGATTTTTTGGTGTAGAAAGGACGAAGAGGGTTTGGATTAACATTTTTTGCTAGGTTTTGGTAAATATTCATGATTTAGAGGCAGGCGGAAGGATAACGGAGTTATCAGGTTGGTTACGGTGTTATGTACGGCAAATAGTTACCTGTTTTTAGTATGCTTTTTCAAGTTTGTGTATCTCAAAATTTTGGTGGTCAACCTCATACAATTTGATGCATAGACATGACCATTTGTTTCTCTGTCTGTAGTGAAAAGTTCAGCCCAACTAAAATTTGGGGAAAAATTAGAGCCGGGT